ACTTATTTTTAAAGCAAGCCTTTAAATCTGTCATGCATGTCTTGTAGTGGTGTTCCGATTAATCGAGTAGAAAATCAGATGAGTGAGTACAACTCCAACTTTTTTTTTCATTATTTTTTTTTCATTCAATTTGATGAGCAGTTATGTTGCAATGCCCTTTAGAGTGTTACCCGTCCGTAACCCTAACAGTATCCTTAATTTACTTACCATTAAATACTAGCTACACATACAATCATGCCAACAGTATCCTTAATTTACTTACCATTAAATACTAGCTACACATACAATAATGTCAATATTCCTTCGCAATACACCGGTTGTTGCGGCAATCTAAAATGATCGATGCTTAATCGATCATCGGTCGTTTTGTAAAACCGATGATTGATCATGAAATTTGGACCGATCTCCAACACTAATGTCGTGCATTTAAACACAAAACAAAAATCCTCATAGGAAATTGACGCCATATACTTCTTAAATCCGTAATTATTAATATTAATCATTTTCAGTTTTGGTTTTGTTGCTCCTTCCCCTTCGTCCCTTTTTCACGTTTTCTAGAATGGCCTCTTTTACCATCTTTTTCCATCTCATTTTTTATAAGGCGCTAATAGATAAGAATGACATATTTAATTTAGATTCTTCAATTTTGTCTATGATTTCATTTATAATAAATATCATTTATATATAATTTGCCAAATTTTTAGCTCAGCTGACGAAGTCAGATGCAGCTTGTAGAATCGCATGATTGTGACATTTTCAAATGCTAGAGTAACTGCACCTTGAGTACATTACCTTATAGCCAAACGCGTATTAGTTTGTCCAATATCACTGCTGGTTACTAAGAAATGTCTAATTGAAATCCGCAGTTCAAAAATCTGTTGTTTACAGTTTCAAACCGCTGATGGCGAAGCGGGTGTGATACAGATTTATAGGGCACCGGACATTTTCGCACGCATGCTGGGCCGAACACAATGCTATCATCAGTGATTTCGTAAACATGGACGCTCGTGATAAGGAACTTTGTGTCAGGGCTGTCCACGTGCGTCCGTCATTAGTACGTGTGTTTTACTCTATTTCCATGTTTAGTCCGTGGCCGTGGTTACACCGCTGACACCTTCATTTCATCTGCCGTCCAAAACATACGGGCCGCACAAATGTTTACGTCATCGCTTGACTCCTGGATGACATTTACGGCAATTTACGCACGTAATTATGATACGTTGATACATATCAATGAACTGATTTCAAGTCTTGTTTGTAATGTAAACCAGCAGTGATATTGGACAAACTAATGTGCGTTTTGGCTATAAGGTAATGTAGCTTATAAAACTACAAGGTGCCAGTTAGCTCTACCATCTGTGTAACATGCATAATCAATGAGCATATTTACTTCCTTTTAAAGTATAGGAAGGAATACGCAAATTTGCTCTTAATATTCGATGTATAGTGTGATGGGAGGAAACCATCACCCAGCGTGAAATTGGAGGTCAAAGGTCAAAGGGCGTTGCGGCAAAAGGTCAGATATCGCAGTACATTTTCTGAGAACATAAGTCTAACGACTGAGTGGCAAAATTGACTTTGCTCAGTGCTGACCTAACCGTCATATTTATCACTTGTATTGGAAAGGACCATGAAATCTACTTATCCGCGTGACTGCGAAGAGCTAAGTGTCTGATACGCTTTTGAACCTCAAGAGGACGGCGTCAAACATGGATTTGTTGACTGTTTAACAAAGGACTGAACTGCTTTTGCTATTATAGAACGCCCTTCAAACACCTGCCCCTTCCCACCACGCCGCCCCTCCCACCCATCCCTCCCCAACGCTTCTTCTTTCCTTCCCACCCTCGTCCCCTTCTTCCCTCGCCTTTATCTTCCACCCTCTCCTTCCCCACAACCACTACGCTCGCGCTCAGACGCATATCCATGATAACATGTTAATATAGCGAAGTCATTAAAGTTTACACAGCTGTAATTTATTATCTGGTAACTACCAGTAGGTATACGCAAATCCTACAAATAGATTTTAAGATCTGTATTAGCAGTATCCTAAAATATCATGCTCTGTCAGAGCGGCAAAAACGCGTGGTGTGGGAGGCGCACTTGATTTCGCGGTTGCGTGAGTTTATCAGAAGAATACGCCTGGCTACAGTACACGTCAGTCTGAGCGCTGTCGCTTTGCGGCAGCTTGTTTTTTTCCCATATTGGTAATTGTTGTAAGACAACACTTCTTCTCATCCATAAAACGTTTTTTTTCTTTTTTCCTCTTAAAATTTAATTATGTATTCAGGCAATAACATTATCTTTTATAATTTCAGTTTTTTTTTGTGTCAAGACTCGGTATTAATCCTAGCTCACCTCTTAGATTGATAGTGGGTTTTCTATGTGCACCTAACGTATTACTGGTGAGGTTTTATTTTCTTGTAGCTTGTATGGGTATACTATTAGTACTCTTGTGGTCTGCTCCCCGTCTGAGCGCCCTATATGATTATTTAGTTAAGCTGTTTTACAACCCTACATACATCTGGCTGTCAAGTCCCCACTCTCTTCTCTTGTGCAAGATAAATGCCACAAACAAAATTTTAATGCTAAACCTTAATTATGTATTAATTATTTACTACTTGGTCTTTTCGCGGCGCCGCCCGTCGGTGACACACAATCGGCTGTGTTAGTAGGATAGTGATTTACACACCGCGCACACTGTGCAAGTAGCCCGTTTCTAAATTTAGGCGGGAGAAAAAATTTTTATAAATTCCACCAGCAGTCGATTGTTTTCTGATTTGCTTTTTTATACACTTAATTTCAATACTTTTAAATTTAGCCCCAAAGATATTTAGTACCTTAGTTATTGATCTGATACATATATGCGAATTTAGATTAGTGCTTGATTGGTTAAATAATATTGACACCGCTCACTTTTGCAGTTCACTTGCTAAATGTATGACGCCACCAGAAAGTTATTCACAAGAAAAGCCGCGTCATTTTCTCTGGCCTATCTATTCCGATCTGCCGATCACTCCCTAGCTTATCTCTTTAAGCCCTGGTCACCAACGAGCGTCCCACGACGCATTTGTGGCAGACGACACGACAGATAAAATTTGGGCAATCGTGGGTCGATCGGCATTCGGGGTGTCGCACAACCAGTCTATCGAAATTTTGAGCACTCGTGGACTCGGACTTGCCCCGGAATCGTGAGGGCATAAATTGGAAAACATGCACCTTTTTGTTGTACGATTTTGTGTATCTCACTGTCTCTGGTTGTCGTATGTCTGTCCTACAACAGTTTTGCGACAGTCTTGCGACTGTCGTGGCGATTAATATTCTTGTCGTGGGTACTAGAAGTAAATTTTCGAAACATATCCGCACGACGCCTACATAACTGTCCTCACGGCTGTCCGGCAGTGAGCATCCCAGACAGTTGCAAGATTGTCTCACGAAGTATTAGTATTCTCGTAGAGGCTCGCACAACATTGCAAGTCTGGTAAGTGGCGTTAGTCTCCTGCGTTAGTCTTGCAACATATTTTCGTTTTTTGAGGGGTATATACTCGGCGAATGGACGCTTGGAATTAAAAAACTGCTGTCGGCGCTGAAAGAGGAAATGGCGTATTCCACTGAGCGACTACAGAGAAGCGTCGGCCCTGCTGAGGGGCGTCTGAGGAACTCCAGCACGCAGCATAATATATGTTGTTTGGCGTGATCCGGCGCCCGGACAGCAGCGCAGAACCGGCGAACCCCCGACCATGGTGAATCGGCGTGATCGACGCCCTATGTGGGCAGTAATAGTACTTTTCTTGATGCATGAGCTGGACGGAATCTGCCGGTCGGACTTTCCTGGCGGTTCATCGCGATGGACGTCTGGCATGTTTCACAAGCGTTGCTGAGTGTCGCCCCTGTCGCATCACCAAGAGGCCAACCGCTAGGCTGCCGCATCCCTCTTGAGCCTGTGCTGAAGCTGGCCATCACTACTGCCTAATATGGGCCTACAGCGGCAACAATTATCGCAGCATGGCGATACTCCTTCCGTTGTCCCTGCCGTACGGCAGAACGTGTATAACACGTGGAAATCTCTGCACAGCAAATGGCAGGCAACAGACGCCGGGCCTTCGTTATAGTAGTCCGGGAGACGATACGCGCGA